TCACGAGCAACTTGTACGTCATTTTATCTTGTGGAAAACGACAAGCGGCAGCTCTTCACGAGTAACTTGTGTGTTATTATTATTTTTGGAAAACGACAAGCGGCAGCTCTTCACGAGTAACTTGTACGTCATTTTATCTTGTGGAAAACGACAAGCGGCAGCTCTTCACGAGCAACTTGTGTATTATTATTTTTGGAAAACAGCAAGTGGCAGCCTCTTTAATTGAGCAGCTTGTATGTTATTGGTATTTTCTTTGGACGACAGTAAGTGGCAGCCTCTTTATTTGAGCAGCTTGTATGTTATTGGTATTTTCTTTGGACGACAGCAAGTGGCAGCCTCTTTATTTGAGCAGCTTGTATGTTATTGGTATTTTCTTTGGACGACAGCAAGTGGCCGTTTCTTTATTCGAGCGGCTTGCGCATCTACAATCCATATTATCTCAGCATTAACGAGTATATCTCGGAAAATCTTGCAGAGAAGCTGGTCATGAATCATTACCTTCAGAAGTCGGTAATCCATCATCAGCAAGATTGATTGCTTTTCGTCTATCTTTAACCTTGAGTTGCAAACTCACTGTTTTGGGTCAATAATCTGTTTTATGGCCTATGCAAGATGCCTTCTTTGTTAGGGTCGGAGGTCGTATTCCCTCAATTTTATTCGCTGTCAAGAGTTTGTCGTTTGAAGTCGATAGCTCGTTTCCCCAGTAATGTATAATCCATGTCTCTGTGTTTTGTTGGTGTTCGATTCCTCCAACATTGTCTTGTTTCATACAATATCTTTCTCTGTGAATTCAATCACTGCATTCATATCAAACATGAGGGCGGCATCTTAGGACAAAATTTGCGTAATTATGTATTTAAGTACCTTCAATCTCGTCGAAACGAAGATTTCAATCTTCATATCTCCGGATAGAAGAAACTTAAATAGGGGCAGCTGTTGTACCCCAAATTTTGACCTAAGATACCATCTCCCATCTGCATCATTACATTGCAAGCGTTTTGATCTTTTGTTTTTTTTAAAAATTCATAACTTTTTCAGGTCGAGAGCTGTTTATTTTTTGAACGCTAAATTTATTAACTGATCAAGACTTAAATGATGTTTATTAATTATTTATTATCTTAAATTTAAATAATTGGAATTTATTTTCAGTTATTACATAATTTAAAGATTTATGAATAATATAATAAATATTTGAAAAGAAGTTCATTAATTGGTCAATAATGATTATTTAATTATTTATCATTCTAAGTTAAATAATTGAAATTCTATTTTTAATTATTATAATTTAGAAAATTATGAATAACAAATTAAATAATTGAAATTATTAATTGATCAATGATGTTTATTTATTCGTTTATTATTCTGAATTTAAGTGATTGAAATTGATTTTCAATTATTATACAATTTAAAGAATTATAAACGATAAATAAATAATTGGAAAGAAAAAGAATTGACTGGGAAAGAATATAATTTTATTTCACTTTATTCTATTTTATTACAATTGTTATTTAAATATTGTATTATTTACAAAATATTTATAATAATAAATTACATAAAAGTTTAAAGTAAAATAGAACTATTTTTCTAAGATTCTAATTCTAATCTTCTATCCAATGCTTTTGTCTGCTCATTTAATTTTACCTGCAAAAACAATTAAAAGAAAAGTCAGAATTAAATAAATAATTAAAAAAACAGAAAATTATTTATTAGTGTTCATCATTAAAAGCAAACGGCTGGAATCAGTTTACCCTTTTTTGCAAATAACGGGATTTCTCCCGGTTCACAAAAAGGGAGGAATTTTTATTTTTCATAAATGAATGCATAATTTAAAACATGCACAAATTCATTTTATTTTTCAAAACTGCATATTTAAAATCAATTGCATTTTAAAAAAAAGGGCCAACTGCATATGCATAATTTCTTTTGTCAAAAAATGCATATTTCAAAAATATACACAGCATACAAAAAGCAACAGCATATGCATAAACATTTCAATTCCAAACAAAAGCCAACGTAAACCTATGCCATGCACATAGGAAGAGTCCAAATACAATAGGCTCCCACTGTGCCATTGCAAGTCAAAAAGAAATATGCAGTTCAAAATCATTTTGCAAGCATAATATATTTCCCATTTCATCATTTTCCAGCATGTTTGCAATTTCAGAACAGTAAGTACATATCACTTTTTTATGTATCAAATTGTACTTGAGAGAGAGAAGAGATAGAAGTATGGTTTTGCAGGTTTTGGTTTAGGCAGAAAGAGAGTAGAAACAAACCAGCAGTATTGCAATAAGAAATAAAGAAGCATGAAATATGAATACAAACAAACTGTTGGAGCAGTTTGGTGCAGAGCATCAAGAAGGATACCAAGACCTCCAACCTGTAACATAAACCTCAAGCCAGCAAATGTTATAATAACAAAAAAAACACTTCAAGAAAAGGAGGAGAGTCCAACCTGTTTTAAAAGCCTAGAAGTAAAACTGTCAAAGAAATTTTTTTTCCTAAGGTCTCAAAGCAAAAGCCAGCAGAACCTACTGTCAATCTACAACCACAACCATTTTTCATACCATATGGCCTAACAACCAAAACCTGCTATTTGCATAAACCTAAACCATACACAACCTAAACCTGCCTACTGCTAAACCAGCATAACCAATAAACCATGTCAAAACACGCCAAAACCACAACCTTGGCCTGAAACCATTTTCCTCAAACCATAAAACCAAAACCAGTAACAACCATCATACAGTATGGCCTAGAAACCATTCCTACTGTCAAACCAAAAAAAAACCTTATAGCCTAACGTTCAAACCTGCCTACTGCATTACCAAAACCTGCTATCTGCATTATCAAAACCTGTACCATCAAAAACCAGAACCATTTGCAAGAACCTTATGGCCATTACCAAACCAACATATGACCTGTAGAACGCCTAAAAACCAAAACAGATTTCAAAACTGAAACTATAACATAAGCCATACACGCCTAACCTGCATAAAAACCAACATGGCCTAAAGAAACATAACCTGTTGAAACAAACCAATGTCCATCAACATAAAACCATTCAAGACCATCAACCATGACCACATAGCATAAATCATTGAAACCAATGTCCAATACTAAAGCCTCAAACTATATCATCACTGGCCACAAAGAGCATACAGAAGCATAACTGAGAAGAAGAGAAAAAGCATCAATATCATCAAGCTAGTCAAAAGTAATTTTTCAACAATAGCATTAAAAAATGTTCAAGGCAACGTAAAGGCATCAGCATTCATCATAGGCCAATCCAAGAAGCAACAGAAGCGAAGTAAAGGGAAGAAGAGAAGAAGATAAATACAGAGTACCGGTAGTTCGAAGCAAGCTCACAGCGCCTCCGCCGTCCTTCCTTGCCTTGGCCTCCTAGCCCCGTCCAATCTCCCTCCTCCGTCTCCAAAGGTAACCTTTTCTTCTTTCTCTTTCAAAACCTCAGATAACCATTAACATATTAGAGTAAGAATCAAAACGGAACCAAATCAACACATGCATTGTAACAAAAACCTTAACGAATAAAGATAATTTGTACCTTGAATCTGTCGACCGCCATAGCATTCGCTGGAGGGAAGAGGAAAGCGGAGAGTACCGGTGGCCATGGGCTGAGGAAGACTCAGAAGCGAGCACAAGAAGGAGAGGACGAATCCACAACGAAGAAGAAGAACGGCGCCGTGTAACCGAAAACCCTAATCCCTTTCCCGATTGCTAAAACGTGTTTAACCCTAAAGACAAATTATGAAACAAATGGACCTTCACCCATTTTCTGCCTTAAGCCCAACGAATTCCCTTAGGCACCCCCCCCTTTCTGCTTGCTTCTTTTGGGCCCTTCAAAACCCCTTTGGCCCATAACTACTCTATCCACCCTTTTATTTTCCTTTATACTTCTTTCTATTTTATTTCTTTTATTTTTCTTTTAGAAATCATTAATTTAGTAATTAGTAAATAAATCAAATAGAGTTAATTTAATTAAAAACAATTTTAAATAATTTGCTCATTTATTAATTAACTTTAGGCTTAATTTAGTAATGTTAGTATTTTTTTAATAGCTTTTAAGTTTAATCTAGTTAATTATTTAATAATTCTTTAAAAAATAATGCTCTCATATAGAACTTTAAAAAATATATAAAAAAATAGAAACTTAAAAAACTTAAAAAATAATTTTTGTTTTCCTTAATTAATTCTCATTACTTTTACCCATATTAAAAATGCGTAAAAATGGAAACTATTAAAACATTTCCTTTTCATTAATATTAAACAAAAAAATCATAAAAATACACGTTCACACACTTAGTCTTTTATTCAATTGTTATTTAATCATTATCCGCATGATTTTTCTGTTTAATTATTTCATATTTACTTGTTTATTCCGTTTACGTTTAAATCCAAGGGAAAAACGATTAAATTTGTCGACTTCATGTCCTCAAGTCTAATTGCGCGAATATTCGCATTTCATTAAAACTTAGGATAATTTTTCCTCAAATATTCAATCTTTTCAAAACTTATACCCTTTAAGCAAAAACTTCGACATTAGGTCGTCGTATCTTCGAAAACCCGTCCATACCCTTTTTCGGCCAAAACAATTTATTTTTAATCAAACGAACAATTTTTAATAAACAGATATTTCAAAAGGTTCCTATAGAGTACTATAGATACATTGGGTGCTAATACCTTCCCACTGTATAACCAACCCCCGAACCATAGATCTCTTTTCAAAAACGTCTTGTATATTACTTTTAAAAAAGTATTATTTACATTGCATATTTAGGGTTTTATTTCGCTCTTTCCCCTTTTCCCTTGGAAACAATAAAGCGCGGTGGCGACTCTTGCTTTTGTGAGACGAATTAATCAATAATTCGATCTCCGATTTACCCCGCTACATTTTTTATCGCTACACCTAGCACCAAAAGCCCAACCACTGGTTGAAGGTGTCTGTGCAATTATGTGCATTTCCTTCAGGGAGGTCCACCTTAGAGGCGCAAGCTCTGGTGTGTTGGATTTTGATGATAATAGTCTGATGAAGATGTGACGGCTGACAGATGGGGTGCACCACGTGCTTGATCAGGAGCACATGTAAGATCTGGTAATGACGCTTCAGGAGAGAACACCGTGGGGACGCGTTTCTGGTTTGTTGGATCTGAATCTGTGGAAGTACGAGGGTGATGATGAGAGGGAGCGTGGTTGATGCAGTAGGAACACTGCATAAAATCATGAGATTAACTACAAAGGCGATAACAATTGTCATCACCTGATTAACTCTTAAATAATGATTATTCAGATAAAACAAATAGGATTAAACAAAAATTAACAAGATCAAAAGAAATCACTCTCTCTTCCTACGTTATGTTCTTGTGGATCTCTCTACTATATCAAACACAAATACATAAACTACACATAAAAAGCAGAAAAGCAGATCACACACTGTGGTTTCTATAAAGGTGGATGGAGGTGATGATGAAGATCAACGGTGGAGTTGATGAATCCACGGTGGTGGCTAAGAATCTCCACGGTGAAAACGATGAGGATCATGGTGGTGGATATGAATTTTCCGATTCTAACTTTTTCTTACATCGTTATCTTCGTCTTTCTCTCTTCTTATCTAATTTGGCGCTTATTCTTGCAGGAAATCAAAAACGAAAACAAGATCAAGAAAGGGGTTCTTGAAACCCTAAGATAGATTATGATGAAATCTAAGTGAAATGGTAAAGAGAGAAAGTTTTTGTGCCCTATGTACACGGCTGACAAACTCAGATCAAAGCTGGGAAGGGAATGACGGCAGAGGGATAGTTCGACAGTCAGAGATCTATTTTGGTGAGATCTTTCTGAGCTTTATTCTTTCGTATCCTTCTAATCCTTGTGATTTGTCTTTCTTCTTCTCTTTTTGAATATGAATGGTGTGTGATGAGAAAATGATGATAATGATCTTTAGGGTTAGGGTTTTTTTTCGTTGTTAGCTTGATAGATTTTTTTTAATCTTTCTGAATCGTGGATGAGATTTTGAATTTTGTGTATGATGAAAAAATGAATCCCCTCGATTTTATGAAATAAACTTCTGTTAAATAGGTTCCAGTGTTGATTAGAGATTGAAGAATCTGAGTTGTTGGATCTATGAATTATGTTACTCAAATGAAGGGTTAGGATTGAGTTTGTGAAACTTACTTGAGAAGTTTTGTTTAGCAGGCTTGCTGATTTCGTTCTTGGGCTTTGCCATATTCTGATATGTTATTATGATTTGTTTTGATATTTTTTCTGCTATGTCAATTTAGGGTTTCACTTGGTCTCTCTGACTTGCTTGTAATCTGACTTGCTTGTAATCTGACTTTAACATGCCTTGTCACATTTCTCTATTGGGTTTAAAATGAAGCTGATACGTTATTGTTGGCTCTTGGTGAAATGTTGTTACTACAGTAATTTATGTTATGTTGCCTTGTTTGTTGAGATGTGAACTGCAGTTTCTATTGTTGGGCTTAGAATTTTGTACTTGTGATTTTCCAGACTATGATGCTTTGTTGTTTTGTGTTGTACTGTTGCGATTCTGACTTTGCCTTTTGTGAACCAAAAATAACCTTTTTTTGTGATTTGCAAATAGGAATACTTTTAGGCCAATGATTGGTACTTTGCTTTTCTTATTCGTATGATTCCTTAAATGCTTGTAAACATGATTTGAGAAACACCATAAAGTTTGATTCCTAAGGAATAGCCCTAATGATGAACTTGAAAAGAAATTTCTTTGAAAATTCTTTGTTCTTGTTCAACGTTTCTTTGCTAACCAATTTGTTTTCTTATTTCATGAGTTGATTATGGATGAGTTTGGAAAGGTGATAGAGGAAGACTTGAAGAAGGCAAGACAAAGTTGAAGAAGATTATGGACAAGCTTGAAGATCAATGGTGAAGTTTGGCTTAAAGAACATGATGGTTTAAAGAAGCCACAAAGTTTTTATATTTTTAGGACTTAGAACCTTTGTAGAAATTGTAAGACTAAAGAAAACTTTGTAATAATATTGTAACTTCAAAGTACAAGACTTGAATGAATGATGTTTGAAAGTTAGAAAAATATTGAACATGGAGCTTATGCTGTGGAAATTGAATTATTAATGCCATTTGAAGTTTTAGTTTAGGATTTATACTCTTGCATCTTGATTCTTCTAATTGAAAAGTTTAGAAATTTGGGATGATGAACCATCTTGAAAACAAATTAAATTCCATGAATTTTGAATTTCCACTTCCTCTCTAATTTGCAACTTTCCATACCCTTTGAAATCTTGAATCAAAAGTACCAATGAGATGAAAAATCAAAAGAAACTTCATAAGAATTTTGGAATAAAGAATCAAACTTCTATTGACTTTGACCAAAATCAAAAACCTTATCCATGCTTTAAACTCCCCAGACAATCCTTCAAATTACGCACACATCAAACATTTGTATGAGATAGCTAGAAGCTTAAACCATGCACCAAAGATTTATGTACTTCACTAATAAACCCACTCTACAAGAAAACCTTTTTTCATCTCCTGAATAGGGAAATGAACCTTAACTTTTGACCAAAGATAACTTCAACTGAAACTAGTTTGGTGTAGAAACTCCAAACCAAAAGAAAACTCTAACTCTGCAAGATTTTTGGACATCATACCTCAAGTTCTTATTCAAATGAAAGGAAAGTCAAATGAGAAGGATACAAGATTCAAGCCATAATCTCCTGATGATCCTCAGTTGATGAGTGAAAATGTATTGAGACAATACCGACGATAATGACGCTCCAAGAATTTTGTCAAGAAAGACTTTACAAATTCAATTCAAAATCATGGTGCAAAAGCCAAAATATGGCATATCGTGAGACCTGAGAAACCTTGGGAATTTGAATGATCAAAAGAAAGAGGATGTAAGAACTTCCTTGGATTGATTGACAACCCAACCATTTTCCATAACTTGAATAAAATCGGGAAGATAAGGATACATTGATCACGTCATGATGCATGAATGTGTATGATGAAACATAAGCCATAAGAATTCTAAAATCAAGAGGGTAAATTTTGGGGTGCAACACACTGTATAGGGTTTCGTCGCCACCCTCCACGGGGACATCCATTCGGAACGAAGATGTTTTGAATCCTCGGCCAGGGACCTGAGTTCCATCAACTCTCAAACACAAACAATCACTTGGGCCGCACTGCCCTCCAGCTCCGAGGAAGCCAAGCCACTTCCAAGGGTCGACGCCATCGATCTCGACAGCCACTTTTCCAAAGAAGATCATACAAAGCAGAGAAAGAAAGGGAATGAGCACATGGTCAAAGGTGAAGGTTCATCCCTATCTACAAATAGTAAGGAACTCTCAGATCCCGCACGATCCATCCCGAATGGAGAATTCAAACTCGTCCCCCTTGGGAACAATCCCACCAGAGGAATAAGGATCGAAGTTGACCTCCCCGACTTGGCAAAGAGACAAATTAAAGCTTGCTTAAGGGAGAATGATGATCTGTTCACCTGAAGCGCGACTGAGATTCCCGGATTAGACCCATAGATTACATGCCATCACCTGACCATAGACCCTTCCCTCAAGGCGGTCGTCCATCGTAGGAGAGAACAGTCCCCCGAAAAAATGGAGGCTGCGGAACTAGCTGTAAAAGACTTCCTAGAGGTACATTTTTTTTATTAAGCCAAGTACACAACTTGGCTCTCAAATGTAGTTCTTTTAAAGAAATCTAATGGAAAATGGTGCATGTGCATTGATTATATCGACCTCAATCGGGCTTCCTCGAAAGATGCTTATCCTCTCCCCAATATTGACAAGCTAGTCGAGAATTCGGTCGGTTTGAAAATTGCTATCTTTTATGGATGCATATTCTGGTTGCAACCAGATTCCAAAGGTGAAAGCGGACAAAAAACATATTGCTCTAATGACCGAGTTAGACAATTACTACTACAACGTAATTCCTTTCAGCCTGAAAAACGTGGGCGCTACATATCAGCGCATGTTGAACAAAGTCTTCCGTAACGAGATAGACGACATGTTCGAAGTCTACATGGAAGACATGGTCGTCAAATCAACGGAAGATATCGACCATGCCCTCCACTTGAAGAAAGTGTTCGAGCAGGCTAGAAAATGCTAGATGTGATTTAACTCAGAAAAATGTACCTTTGGCATACGAGCAGGCAAATTCCTTGGATTCTACCTTATAAAATGAGGAATTGAGGTAAAACCCGAAAAATGTCGAGCATTTTCTAAGTTTTCAATGCCCACTTTGAAAAAATCTATTCAAACCTTGAACGGCATGTTCACTTCCCTCTCTCGATTTGTGGGGAAATCCGCCTAACTCGCGCCCCCTTTCTTCATGCTCCCCCGCAAGGAATTTGCCTTCGAATGGACAGTCGAATGCGATCAAGCTCTCACCCACTTGATGCAAGCACTATCGCAACCGCCCATCCTTTCTCGACCAAAGAAGGATAAAATCATTTATCTCTATCTGGTCGTTGCCTCTGAGGCAATAAGCACATCGCTAATCAGAGAAACTTCAGAATGATAGAGACCAATCTACTTTACAAGAAAGGCCTTACAGGGACCATAAATGAGATATCAACAAATTGAAAAGGTGGCCATATCCCTTGTCAACACAGCGAGGAGACTTAGGCACTTTTTCCTGGCGTATACCATAGTCGTCTGAATGGATTAACTAATAAAGCAACTGCTCGAAATACCTGACATGGCTGGTAGAATGTTAAAATGGATGTTAGAACTCTGAGTTTGATATCCAGGACGAGGTAAGGAAAGCCCACAAAGCTCAAGAAATGGCCAACTTTGTGTCTAAAATGACCTCGCCCGCACCCCCGGACAGAGCGTGTCGGTGGATAATTTTAGTCGACGACACTTCCGGATCGATGGGAAGCGGCGCAAGAATTATATTGGAAAAAAAGTAAGGAACAATAATCGAGGTCTCCCTCGCTTTATCTTTCCCAACTCAAAAAACCAGGCTGAATACGAGGCATTCCTTGCAGGCTTACGCCTAGCCGAAGACTTAAGAGCCAACGAAGTGAAAATCTTCACCGACTCTCAACTGGTTGCATCCCAGGTCCGGGGAGAATATCAGGTGAAAAATGATCACCTCACTGAATATTGGGCCCTGATCCAGGAGAGGAAAAAGAAATTTAAGTTCGTGGACGTGCAACATGTTCTCAGCGAACATAACGCCCGAGCAGACATCCAATACAAACTAGCGAGTACGAAGAGGAAAGGCGGGAACAAATTGGTGATACAGGAAATCCTTCCTTGACTAAGCACCCAAAAACTCCCCTCAACTTTGGAAGTATTTTCCATAGGGGACAACGACTGCTGGATGACCCATGTACACGACTACTTCACAAAAGGGAAGCTACCTACTGACTTGAAAGAAGTGATCATTGTCAGACGAAGAGCCTTCTAGAATGTCTTAGTTATGGGAAAACTATACATGAGAGGGTTTTCAACTCCCCTCAAATGTGTTGACCGAACCGGTGCAGATCACATCCTGCTCAAAATCCATGGGGGGATAAACGA